AATTAAAATTTTTGCTAGATACAGGTGCAACAGTTAGTGTAATTTTTCAAAATTCAATTGCGCAAGATGAGGTTATTGATCAAACACGGAAAATTAAAATACACGGTATTGCTGGTTCGACAGTTTCGGAAGGTTCGGTACAATTATTGCTTAGTTTTAATAATGTTGAAATGCAACAGGAATTTTTGTTGATGAGGGAGTTTGAATGTGGAATGAATGGTGTAATCGGTGCTGACTTTTTCATAAAACATGATGCAATTATCAATTACGAAAAGAATGAATTTTCCTTTTGGAGTAATGACCGGAAAATTTTTATTCCAATTGAATCGCAATGCGAATTTTATACAGAAATTCCAAGCAGATGCGAAATTATCAAATATTGTTATGTCGAGAATAATGACGACTATGTGGTCCTTCCTGATGAAATATGCGAAGGAGTTTACATAGCCGGAAGTATAGTCTCCGCTAGAGATAACTTGATACCTGTGAAAATATTAAACGTTAGAGACAGTAATGTTAAACTGAAAAATTTTCGACCAAAATTAGAGAAAGCAACCAATTATCACATTTGTGAAGCAAAAGAAACTATGCAATCGGTTTCGCGAGTTGACAAATTATTGAAGTTGTTAAAAACTGACGACTTAAATGATGAAGAAAAAATCTCAATTCAAAAAATTTGTGCCAAATACTCCGATGTATTTTTGTTAGAAGGTGATGAACTGACAGTTACTAATATTTATAAACAAAGCATAAGGTTACAAAGTAATGCGGCTCCTGTTTACGCTAAGCCGTATCGGTTACCACATGCACAAAAAGACGAAATACAGCAACAGGTCGGTAAAATGTTAAAAGACGGAATTATCGAAGAAGCTAGGTCGGAATGGTCCGCCCCTTTGCTAATCGTACCTAAAAAATCCGCAGATAAATAATTGTATCAAGAAATGGAGGATAGTCATTGATTATCGAAAATTAAATAAACAAATTCAAGATGAAAAATTTCCATTACCTTGCATTACAGAAATTTTGGATTCTTTGTCTGGTGCAATGTATTTTTCACATCTTGATTTATCACAAGGGTATTATCAAATTGAACTAGATGAGGCAAGTCGTCCTTGTACCGCTTTTCTTACAAACCAGGGACAATATCAGATGAAACGACTGCCGATGGGTCTAAAAATTAGTCCATCTGCGTTTTCGCGAGTAATGACAATCGCAATGGCGGGATTAAATTACACTAGTTGTCTCGTCTATATGGATGATATTGTAATTTTTGGTAACAACCTACCAAATCATAATAAAAATCTAGTTAAAGTTTTGGGAAGATTAAGACAAGTAAAATTACGGATTAATCCAAATAAATGCGAATTCCTAAAGAAAGAAATTTTATACTTAGGTCACGTAATCTCAGCAACCGGAATTTCCCCGGAAAAATTCGTGTTATTCAAAATTATCCGGTACCAAAGGATGCGAAAGAAACGAAAAGATTTGTAGCTTTTGCGAATTATTATCGACGATACATAAAAAATTTTGCATACATAGCAGTTTCGTTAAATAGGTTAGCAAAGAAAGGTGTAAAGTTCGAATGGAACGATGACTGTCAGAAAGCTTTTGAAACATTAAAAAACAGTTTGATGACCCCACCAATTTTAGAATATCCAAATTTTTCAAAGGAAAATATTTTTAATTTAAAAACAGACGCATCGGGTTCAGCGATAGGTGCAGTATTAACAAATGCAAATGACAAACCTGTGGCATATGCCAGTAGAACGCTCAATAAAGGAGAAAAAAATTACTGTACCATTGAAAAAGAACTTTTGGCAATAGTTTGGGGTGTTAAATACTTTCGACCGTATTTGTACCGGAGAAAATTCATTATTCAGACAGATCACAGACCCTTAGTATATCTTTTCGGAATGACAAATCCTTCCAGTAGGTTGAAGAAATTTAGGTTAATTTTGGAAGAGTACGATTTTGATGTTGTATATATAAAAGGTAAAGATAATCTAACAGCGGATGCCTTATCAAGAATAGAAATTAGTTCTAATGAAATCAAATCAATGAGTCACCAAATTTTTTGTACAATGAATGTATTAACAAGAGCGCAAAGTAAAGCTGAAAGTAAGACCTGCGAGAACAATGAATCAGTGTCATCCGAAAGGACTGATCACCCTGGCGTGGTGGAATTGATAAAACAGCCTGAACATTTTTTCGAGTTGCGTCCTATTTATAAAACCGAATTTGACAAAATACTTGCAAGTAAAACAAAAATGCCCAACACGTGTTCTATTTATAAAAGTCATAATTTAATTGTCGACAATGAATCAGATGTTATTTATATGAAATGGGATATTCGATCGGCGTCAGCACTAAGTGAGACGTTGAGAGTACTCAAAGATATTGTTATGAAATATAAGATTCCGGAACTAGTAGTAATTAAAAATAAAAAAGATGCATCATCATCATTTCTGCGTGAAGTAATGACTAGAGTTAACGAAGTAAGGTTCAGAGATTTAAAAATAAGCGTAATTAAAGACGTTCAAAGAATAGATGACTTAGAAGCGAGACAAATAATTCTAAATGACTTTCATATATTGCCTACAGGAGGTCACGCCGGTATAAACCGAATGTATAACAATATAAGGAAGTATTTTTTTTGGACAAAATTACGGAAAGACGTTGAGGAATTTGTAAAGAAATGTGATTCTTGTCAGAGGTATAAGCATGGAAAACACAATTTAGAACCAATGGTGATTACAACAACAGCCAATTCGGCATTTCAGAAAATCTTTTTAGATATCGTAGGACCTTTAGAGCAAGATGTTTAGAATAATCGGTACATATTAACAATACAGTGTGAATTGAGTAAGTTTGTTGAGGCGTATCCAATACCAAATAAAGAAGCCGTTACCGTAGCAGAGTCATTCGTTCAAAATTTTATTTTAAGGTATGGCATTCCACAAGAAATTGTTACAGATCAAGGTACAGAATTCTTATCGTCAACTTTCAAAGAGGCTTGTAAAGTATTAGGAATAAAACAATTAAATTCGACAGCGTATCACGACGAAACGTTAGGTGCGTTAGAAAATTCCCACAAACACTTAGGTGCGTATCTAAGAATACAAGTGGCAAAACATCCAAATAGTTGGAGTTCATGGGTTTCATTCTGGTGTTTTTCGTACAACAATAGCGTGCATAGCGAAACACGTTACACACCGTTCGAATTAGTATTTGGACAAACGTGTCGACTGCCATCGAATGTGCTTACTCGGACGGATCCTCTGTATAGTTTCGACGATTATCCATTAGAGTTAAAATATAGACTTCAGACCGCATGTAATGACGCTAGAAACAACTTGCTTTTGTCAAAAGAAAAAAGGAAAAAATTGTACGATAGTCAAATTTCAAAAATTGTAAGATATCCAACTGGTTCGAAAATTATGTTACGAAACAATGTAGGAAATAAGAGTGAGCCAGTGTATAAGGGACCATATACTGTAGTTGTAGACAAAGCACCAAATATTGTAATTAATATAGGTAATAAATTAATAGAAGTACATAAGAATAGAGTTAAGAAGTATCATGAATAATGTAAGGAAAAATTTTTTTTTTAAACGTGAGAACACGAAAAAAAATTTTTCTCCCGACCGGGGGAGGTGTAATGGAATAAGTAAGTTTGAATTCGTTAGTCAGCAAATGCTTGTCCATTGCAAGGAACTAGGTCATCAATAGTGTATAAAAGTGTAAGTGATAGCTAAAACAAGGAAGTGTTAAGTCTGGGTTTGTAGTGGTAATATGGGTAAATAAATGGATAATAAATATGTAGTGGTGTTATTAACCAACCACCGTCGTGACTAGTAGATAGGACATCACAGTTGTTATAAACACTGTGCGAGTATTTCGTGAAACAGGTAGTGTCCACTACAAAAAAGATGTTAGACGACCAACATTGTGTACCAATGAAGTCATAGAAGAAGTTGAAAAACGCATGGGAAATAATCCATCCAACTTCATTGAGGCATCTGTCTCAAGAAGTTGGACTTTCCATGCGTACATGCCATAAAATTGTGAAAAAAAAGCTCTACCTTTTCCCTACAAACTTCATACCCTTCGAACTTTTGTCGGCAGATTTTAATAGATATATTGGCTACTATAGATGTCTCTTGAACACCTCAACGATGATAACTTGCTGGATTTAAAATTCTTTTCTGATGAAGCTTGGTTTCATCTCTGCGGTATTGAGTTTATATCAATTTGAATCACAATTACGAGATTTTGTTTCATAGGTTACGTTAACTCTACAAATATGAAATGTTGGAGTGCTGAAAATATACATGTCTTTCTTGAAACACTACTCCATCCTGTTAAAATTGGTGCATGGTGCGCAATGTCTGGCAGACGTATAATTAGACCCAAATTCTTTGAGGAAACTGTAATAGCACAAAGATATGGAAGCAATGTCCTAAATGCTTTTTTTCAAGAGTTACAGGATGATGAATTCCAAGAGGGATTATTTCAAATTGAATTTTTTACGTGAATTCTTTGATGTTAGAGTGATAAGAATAACTATTGACCCAAAAATTAACCAATACTAGTATTGGATTACAGAGTAGTTTCGCACTAGAAATGTGGCGTATTTAAGTAAAAAAAAGTTGGATGGTGAGAGTACATGAACTATAAGCTATTTTCCATTTTCTACTTTGTTCCTGTAGGTATAGTACTTACCTTTCACTCAGTTAGGTATGATAAGTAATAAGGAAGCCTTACCTCCTACTTTATCAAAATTATTTATTTTCACACACAAACTAAAGTCATTTCATCTAAAATTTATGCTTTCAAAACATGTTGAACGACTCAAATTCTAAATTTAAACTCGAAATCACCCCATAAGTAGATCGACAGGTCTTTTATATAGTTTTTTTTTAATCTGCAATTTTCTACAATATTCTCACAAAGGAACTAAAAACAACAGAAACAACGATTTATTTTATTTCAATTAACATTTAACTTGAGTTAGTTAAGTATCTAACATGATGAGTATAACCTTGATTTTGGTGTGTGAGGTCCGTATTAGCTCCAAAATTTATTAAAGATGCAACAATTCTGTGATATCCACGTTCAGCAGCCACATGGATAGGCGTTTTTCCATTTTTATCGGAAATGGTGATGTCGGCTCCATATTTAATTAACAAATCGATGATATCTGTGTGTCCCAAAAAACATGCCGCAAACAGAGCAGTTTGTCCCGAATTGTCAACATCATTGATGTTTCTTCGATAAGAATCCACGTGCAAAATTCTTCTAATGCCAATAATATGATTCTTTTTTACAAGTAAATGCAAAAGAGATGCACCGTCGCTTTTTCTTTTCACAAATTTTATCTCCGAGTCCTCAAAAAAGGTCAAATATGTGCCGTCCCCAGATAGCGTGTTAAAATATAAAATAGTGCAAATAAAGCGTTCACGAATTGGAGCTGCTAATGGAAAACAGCAGCCATTAGAAGAACTGCGAACGTCGGTACTCTGATGTCGTCTAAGTATAACAAGAGCGCTTAAACAATTAAACTTTTTGGCATACGATTTAGCATCTAACGCAAATAAGTTATCTTTTTCGCGCAAACTATTTCTTTCTAACAAATATTCCAAGATGTGAAGATATTCTGCACTTTCAGTTTCGCCTGCACAAGTTTCCAACTTTGTATCGTCAACTACATAGCAATGAAAGCTTTTGGTTACTTTCACATCCGGATAAGGACTACCCCAGGAACATGCCAAATGCAATGCCGTCCTTCCACCAGAATCCTTGACTAAAAGTTGGTTCTGGCACATCTCTAACTCTTCTAAATCTTTGTGCAAAACTGCGAGATGCGTGGGAGAGTCCCTCGCTAATAATAAATCGAAAAAGTATCTAATCCCGGCGTATTTTCTGTCAAAGTAAAAATTTTCGAACTTCCACAATGTTCGCCAATTTTCGAACAGGTAACATGCTGCAAAATAATTTGCGTACAGTTTGTGGACAAAGCGAGGTCTTCCGTTTCGGATTTCTGTGATGAATCCACATCGGTCATTGTTTTTACTAATCTCTTCTAAAAAATTCTCGCACGTGACGTTCCACAGTTTTACATACTTCGAATCTACCAAACTGTACATAGCTGCAAGTGCATAGCTTTGGATTCTGATTGTTTTCTCTAGAGCAATCACACGGCTGAGGACACGATTTAAAATCTGAACGTTTGCTTTTTCCGTGTAATAGATATAAAATTTTTCTTCCACAAAGTGATAGAAGAGTTCTTGCTCTGAGACGGCATGTGTTAAATTTATCCTATGTGTATTCAAGATGCACTCTACCAGCATGTTTAAATGTAAAGGAATACTCAAAAAATATCCACCATCTATTCTGGCTATATTGTTTCTAATTTTGGCGATTGATTTTTCTAAATTATTTTCGCCATAAAGGAGTTCAAGGCGTTTCTTGATATAGAGAGACACTTGTGCATCGTCAAACATTAGGAGTGTTCTAGAAAGAACTCCAAATGCTAATTCTAAGGTTTGTTTCAAATAGTGCCTACATGTTAACCATTGTAGGGCACTTTTTTTGGACAACTGGCGTATCAAAGGCACTATTTTCACCAACGAGTCTTCACTTATCTCATCTAGAGCATCCCACAAATAGATAACTTGGCCTCGCTGAATTAACAAATTTAAACACGTTCTTCCAAATCTATCTAGAAATGAGTATTTTGTATCTAAAACGTATTCTAGAAACTCATCCTCGGTGCAAGAATTAGTACTAAGACGAAGACTTAAAGAAGAAATATCTTGAGGAGAGAACAACACAGTCCAAAATTTTGCAGACAAATTATTTTTAAGCTTTTTGGTAAAAGCTGTTTTTCCAGTTCCAGGGTATCCACTTACGATGTTAATGTTATTTTCTTGTTGCCCTGAGAAAAGTTCTTCTTCTTCTATGTAATGACCTTGAAGGCGGTATTGTTCTAAATCAAGAACGTTACAGTTACTTTTGACAAATTCGAGTTTTCCATTTTCCAACAATTTAAAATGGTGAAAATTTGGTAAAATCTTTTGGTCCTGTGTGTTATTAAAAATGTCTGCAACTGTGTCTTCTTTTTTAACCATTGTGTTTAGCGTAGGGTTCAAATCTTCACTGTCCTTCTTACAAGGGCTAACGAAAATTAACGTATTTTTGTCAGTTTCGTTTAAACATTTTCTACTAAAAACGTTCCTCGAAAACTTCCTACTTGTATATCCCATCGGTAAAACTTCTTTTTCCTCTCCTATCAAATACGGTCGATTTATCATTTGCAACAATTCATTCGTTGTCGTAACCTCTTTGATAGTAGTATCATGATCTATCAATTCAATTAAAGTAATTTCTCTGCTGTCTTGTATGGAGCATCTAAAGTTCGTTACTATCTTCTGAAAAAGCATTAAATGCTCATCCAAATCTGACAATTTCCAAAAAACTGAAAACTTCCCAAGTCCTACGGCATCAGACCCAAGTAAAACAAATCTTTTGTCTTTGCACAGATCTACAATTTTTTGGCTAGAATCGTTCTTGGGAATAATCAAAGGACACTTGTTCATCAACCACAAAAATTTAGAACAGTCTTCATCGTTCAATTTATTCACATCTTGAATGTTGTTTTTCGTAATTTGATACCTTTTTCTGAGTTGATTTAACTCTTTAGTGTCTTTGAGTTCATTTTTTAGATCTCCCCACAATTTTTGCACTTCTTGGAAACAACTAAAGTCAAAAAGGGCAACATCAAATAGAGAAATTGCGTCCCGGAATAATCTCATGTTATCATTAACGTTACCGAATGTTAGTGGAAGCAACTGTGGAGAGAGCACTTGTAACGCTACGATATTTTGCATCGTTTCATTGTCAAGTTTTTCTTTCGTGCCTTCACGGATGCTCCACTCTGTAATAAATTGTAAAAAAGTTTCTACGCTAGAGTCGCTGCAAAAAAATGCTTCCTTCATTAAAGTGGAAGTGTTTTCTTTAAGCTGGTCGACATTCGACTGGTGTGTATAGAAATAAAAGTTGTCAAAAAAGTGTTGATATTGTTCTACTGTCTTTGACGGTCTTGTGTCTTCAGCAATTCTGAATTTGTAGCAGTGTTGTATTTCGCTAGAAGTGTTCAACAGAGGTATTACTTTGTCTTTTACAATTTTTACCTGGAAACTTTCACCATCGACTATTTCAATAAATGTGCCATCTGCAACATTAAGCTTTAAATTTGTTATCAATATCAACTTGAAACCAACTACAGATTTTTTGACCTGCTGAAAAGATTTGAAATATTTTTTGATACTGTAGTTGCCGCTATCCTTCGTTAGTGCATCTGTACTAAATGGTTTGTCTCTACTCGCATGCTTCAACTGCAACGCATATTTTTCTTCAGTGTGAGTGTTGATGTTTTTGATTTCTAGAACTACATCGTCAAAGGCTCCAAAATTTTCGTCGTTCGAAGATATCTTGAAGTGTGCGTTTCTGTGGTCTGTCAAGAGTTGCAGGACCAAGCGGGTTACCATTAAATCCTCGTAGTCCTTGCCTTTATCGGTTGTTCCCGGACGTTTGTAAAATGTCTGAAAATGCAAAATAATTTTTGAGAGTAGGAATTTTTTAGGTAAATGTATTGAGACATCGCTTTGGTATTTATTACAATAATATTCAAAATGGTTGTTCTGTGAATTTAATATTTTTATTTTAGGTAAATTACAGTTCTCGTCACAATCTGTTTTACAACAAATATTGCAGTTCGGTTATTATTTAAGATTCTAAACATGGAAATTTTATATTCTTGATGATTGATGAACTTTATAAAAATAAAAATGTTCAGTGGTGACGAAAGAAGAAACTAAAACACGAAAGAAGAGCTGTTGTTTCAAATATCAGAAATCAGTAATTGCTGATGGTGGTTTCATAAAAGTTTGTCTAATGAGTCACAGAAAACAATATACAGGATATTGTTTTCTGTCACTCATTAAACAAAATTTAAATTTTATTTTAACAATATATTTGAATCCAATTTAGTACTAACATCAGGTGTGTGAACACAAAAACATTGGTTTTTTAGTTTCATTGTCACTTACATATGATCCTTTAGCATGCTATATTTGCCTAAAAAAAAATTTGAAAATTTTGATACAAATTTGAGCTTTTCCTTTCAGTGACTTACAATAAACTACTTAGCTATTGATGAGGTAATAATAACCCGGCTCCAGAATTCAAAGTATATAAATTGTAAAAACACAAAATGTAAATTGCTCAGCAACAGAGATTTTTAACTACATTTTCTGCAACGTTTTTTGCGATTTAAGGTGCTGGTAAAATTCTTTTACCGCTATTACTAAACACAAGCCATTTAACATCTGCAGCGGTACATTTAATTAATGTCGTAGGTTATTAAATCGATAACTTTTATCCAACTTATTAATAAACAATAATATTCTATGTACTAATATATATTTATTCATATAATATAAACCCATGGGAAACACGGTCGCACTTCCTAGCATTATACTTTGCGTCATAAAAGCCACAATTCTTATCGTCTCTTATCAAATTATGAACGAGGATTGCACAAAAACCACGAGGAAATTATGAAATTTGCATAATGGAAATTTAAAAACTAATAGGTTGTTTGATCTCTTATAGCCGACATTATTTGTGAAAAATTGAAACTTTTTACCTTGAATAAAAATGCTCATCACAATTGAAGTAATGTTATTTTTACATAAAATTCATATATTACTGAGCAGCATTCAAAAAAAAGTTAGTGATTTTAATATTAATTTTGATGACACGTCTATATAGAACTACAAGCAAAATAAATAAAATTTTGTTAAATTTTATAAATAAGTACATATTTTGTGAACATCAAGACAGATTTTGCTATTAAAAAAATATTCACCAATGTTTTAAAAAAAAGTTGAATCCACAAATACTAAAAACATTGATAAACATTTACTTTTTAAATATTAAACTATTAGTGATACAGAAAACTTACGTTTGCCATTACAGCTTCTTTTGATTGAAGACGTTTCTAAGAATTAGCTTCCTAATTTTTTATTTAACAGATACATATCGTAGAGAAAAATTCTGAAATATAGGACGTTTCGGTTTTCCCACAACAAAATTTAAAAAGTATAGACTTGTTGACCGAAATGATGGAAACTTGTTTAGCACTCACTGTTCGATCTTAGAATAATTTACGTTTTTGAATTATCGTCGCCGCCGCAGAATTACTCATTCTGATAACACAAGTCTGCAATATTTGTAAGTTATACAGTAAAACCTCTTTCATTCATTTTTAATTTTTCAGAATTATTTTGACTGAAAATAATTTGTTACTGTTTTTTGAATCTTTTTAGAATAGCAGATTCTATATGACACATTATTTCAGATAGCTTAGATACAACTGAGATATCTTGATATAAACAAATCTTTTAATTTTTTATAAGCATCTTTAAGGTCCTTATATTCGCAGCCATCACTATATTTTCGTCACCGTCATTGCGACTGTCACAGTTTCTCTTTTTAACTGTTCACATCACTAAAGAATTTTTCGCCGTAAATTATGATCCGTCAATGGTCTTGTGGTCAAATAAATCGATATTTACTTCTCTAACGTCAGCAAAACTGTTGTTGTTGAGGTATAAGCAACAGGCTTCGGTATTTGCGAAACTTAGTTAAAGTTGGCACATTTTGAAATAGATATTGCAAGATATTTTTCTAGATTCTTTCCATGGTATGAAGAAATTGATGTTGAATAGCCAGTCATTACCGTAAGCAAATTTTCGGCGAATAGTGGTGGGTACTGGGTAGATACAGATTAAACAGTAGCTGATCAAATACAGAACTCTGTTTGTATTGGTTGCTAACTGAGTCGTTCAAGTGTACTAGATGAAGTTAGGCCGCTTGAACCGTTCTAAACCACGCCCCAAAATTATTAAAGTTCTCAGCTTCTTAGAAAAATTAAAAAAATTGGCCTAAAGAGTTTATACAGTACTTCCTTCGCTTTCAGAACCGTGTCTTTATGTCTATCATAGATTCTTCTCATTAGAGTTCTGTGACGGGATATTTCAATAAATTCGCTTTCACTCTGGAAGTCACGGCTCGTTCGTAACTTGATCAATAATAACTTGAGTGATTCATTAATTTTTTTGAGTCACCCTGTATAAGCAGATTTAAAAAATATGAATGCAATGATAAATTACAAGTATAGTCTGATCATATTTTGCACATTTTCGAAAGGATTTATTCGGCAAAATTTTGAGATGACGTAATCAACTTTTTAGGGTGGATAAACAGATACATTTTGATTGAAATGTTTCCATGCTTACAATAACTTCAAAACGTGTACAAGATTTAAAAATATTCACTTTTGCAAAGCTACCTAATCTAGGACAGAAAATGTTGCATTTCATAAAGCTGCTTTAGAACAATGTGTCAAATCTTGTATCAACTTTTGCCCATTCGAAAGCAAAAAAAACAATTTTGAGATTAAAAAATGGGCATTTTTATTTCTAATATATTATATTTTCAATATTATATATATTTATAACTAGGTAGTTATTTAATTTTGTTTTTTAATTCAGTGTTTCAGGTAAATTGATTTTAATAAAAAGTAAGCCCTAATTGCAATATACCCATACTTTACTCATTATACTCGTATTTTAATAGTATATTAAAGAACGAGTTTCATAGGGCAAATATTGAGGGACGAATCCAAGTTTATAGAACGAGCGGCAAAGCCGCCAGTTATATAAAGGATGAGTGCCACAATGGCCTTATGAACGAGTTATTTACACTATTTTTTCTACCGCGCTCGTTTTTTCGCAAAATTTAATTGAAATTTGAATTTTTTTAAATCTGGGGAATTTTGTCGTGCTTGGTGATGGGTTGGTCTGACACGAACCACGAAATATTTGAAGTTCGAATTTTCACAACAACAACTGTAATTCGAATCAATTCGAGTTTTTGTAAGTTAAAATTGGTTAAAATGTCTCGTGAAGAAGTTAGTGAAGTCCTTATGTCTCCCGAAATACGGGAAATTTTAATTTGACATTTGCCATTGACATTCTGACCTGACATTTCTGCAACCAACAACTGAAATACCAGGCCTTTAGTTGCTAGAATTGCGTGGGTAGTGTGTCTATTTTGTTGCCTATATTGGGCGCAATTATAGGGTGCGAAGCAGAGACTTTAATTATGTATGTATATCGAGGAGGGTAGAATAAATTTAACCACAATTGATTCATTAATTTACTATTTATCCGACAAAATTTCGATATGACGTCATGAATTTTTTGAAGGGGATAAACAGAAACATTTTGGTGAAAGATTTACTATCCTTACAACAACATCGAAACCTCTGCAAGATTTCAAAGCATTCACTTTTGCACGTCATGATTTAATCAATAAAACAAATTCACTGATTCATTGATTTTAATTATTATTGAATTAATTATTTTTTTAGTCTACCTGTATAAACAAATCTAAAAAATATTAATGAAACGATAAATCACAAGTAAAAACTCGTCATATTTTGTACATATTAGGTAGAATATATTCGACAAAATTTTGAGACGATCTCATCAATTTTCAGGCAGTAATAAACAGATCTATTCTGATTAACAATTTACCATGTATAAAATAACATTAAAATGTCTGCCAGATTTCAAAGCATTTCAAAAAAATTAATGAAGAAAAATTTAATGCTGAATATGTTTCATTGTACTTCAAATGCAAGGCAAATCCTGTCGAAACAAACTTTGCCAATTTTTTTTTTTATCAAAAAAGCAACGGCAACTTGATGACGTGTTCAACTGAACACTCGTTATATACTAATTGTTTTGCATTACTAGTTCAGGAACATTAACACTTTTAGAAAAGTTTACTTTGTTTTATTTGGGCTAACCTGGTCGACATAAGAAATTGTTTTAAATTTTTTAGCATCATTGATTTTTCTTAATCATCTTTCTTGTCCTTGACTCTTTGACAACAAACAGCAAAGTAGTCTTGTTTTGATCAATACGAAACAATTACACTTACGTAAAATTAGGGTTTCGACATTCGTAATTTTGCTCTATATCTTGAAGCTTGCTTTATTAATAGAATGCGGAAAAATACATCAGAAAGACCCAATAATCGGCAAAGAACGTCTGGTATGACTTTTTACTTCGAATACCATAATAGAAACTTAGATTTTCTAACAATTTGTGTTTCATTTTTGCAGATGATGTTTTGCCGACTGTGTATTTTCTAGCAGTGAAAATGTACGAAAATAAGTACATGGTAGTGCTTCAAATTTTTGTGCTTATTATAGCAACCTCTATTGTCTTACTTAATTTGTACTATTTCATCAAGGAATTCAACATGAAATTTTTTGACCAATATGTCTCAGTATTTATGGGCACAGCGTCGGTAAGTAAATAAATAAAACTCGTAAAATTATTCAAAGTGTTGGAACATTGTCGAGCTATTTTACATTGGTCACTGCGTGTTTATTGTGCAACAAACACGATAAACCAATGTGCCTTAAGAAACATTTTTGTTTAAACCCGGAGAGGAACGAAGGAGGACGTATGGAGCGTCCCTACCCTTACAATGTGGGACAATTTTTCACGTTATAGTATTAGGTTTTTTTTAGAGCGTAGTTACTGGTGCGGCTGTATTATGGAAACGTTCGGCTATAAAACGTATTGATACAGAGTGTAGACAATCCCTAACCGAGCTAAAGGGGGTTACAAATAAAAGATTGCAACTGATACTCAAGCAGGCCGGACACGTAACGATTTTCGTAAAGAGTCATCTAGTATTAGTAGTGATAACTGCATTGGTTATTATTCCTGTCGGTAAAGAAAGAAGATTCCAGCTTATACTCGTTTTCTTGGAAGAATATCACCATTTGCCTATCTTGGAATTATTTTATTACCTGATATTTCCAGTATCCGCTTTGGTGTCCGTTCGTTTATGCCATGCACTATTGTATTTAGTCTCACATCTAAAATTTATCGTTCATGTGCTTCTGGATTTGATCGAAGACATGTGTTCGGATTATGACAGCAAAGACGACAACGAACTACTCAACTCAAAAGAATACCAAGATGTAGTCAGAAGGCGACTCTTATCTGCGGTTATCAAAATTAATGAAATAATAAAGTAAAAAAAAATTTTTATATACTTAATTGTTTTTACTGTCTCTTTTCATTCCAGAGTAACAAACATTTCGTCTGATGTATGTACTGAAATAATACCAGCAATTGTAATTTCGGGATTTTTAATGGCGCTTAGTGCAATGAGTTTCGCTTATCTTGTAAGCTGCAAGTATCTCCCACGTTTTAGGCTATACCTCTTGCAATTTTTAGGGTGACTTTTTCGGCTGTTGGTGTTATTTTCAAAATTTCATGTGGTGTTTCACCACAGCGTCTGTTTTAGTAATATACACGCACTGTGGCCAAGTGCTTGAAAATATGGTAACCAATTAAACCCACTTTGACGCGACATTAAATTTAAGGCTACATTTTGAGTTGTATGCAACTTTTACTCATGCAAAAAATAATATTTGGAAGCTAAAGCTGAGAAAAAAGTTGCATTTATTATAAATTTAGTGTCATGTTAAACGGCTCAGAATATTCTCAACCTTACTTTGACTTATTTTTTTCAGACAGAAAAAATTTTTTATACGCTTTGTCAAATCCGTTGGACCTCGTTTGATCGAAACAACAGAAAAATCGTTCTGCTTACACTGATGGCAGTTCAAGAGCCTAAAAAACTAAGCTTTACGGACACTGTTTCTTGCAACTATGAACTTGGAATGCAGGTAAAATCACATTAAATGTACTTAACCCATTTTAGGCTTTTTTTTCTAGGTTTCGAAAGTTATATACTCTTTTGCGGCCGTTATGGCTAGGTTAAGTGAATTCCATGAAAGCAATTAACTTGGGTTATGATAAATAAACACTTACTTAATTGGATCGTCAAAAATTTATTTATTAAAACTCATTGATTTTCTTTCACTAGTTTTTCTATTTTTTAACAAGCACGAGCTAACCTTCGTTTGTAAACTGATTTATGTCAGTATGCAACCTGTAACCTACTTACAGGATTTCAAATAAATGCTACTTTATTGTTACCTCACGAAGTGGGTTTCAACCAGAGCCCAATAAAACTACGTTTACGACAA